TGAGGTTTGAGGGCACCCGGAGGCCCCTGATGGCCCATATGGGTGACCTCCAGCCAGGCTGTGGGGGCCAGATCAGGCCTGGGGGTGGCCACGGGGGCCTGGAGGGCTGCAGCATTGTCTTTGCTGGGGGCTGGGCTCTGGGGGCTGGGAGTCGGGGCCATGGCTGGGGAGCGCCAGGTGGTATTGTAGAGGGTCTTTGGCTGGAGGCGGGCGAGGGGGATGAAGCCATACGTCCTACACCTAGGAGGTGGCAATTGATGGCAATTGGTAACCCAGAATCCCCGCTTCCAGAAGCTCCCCACCCCCTTCATCTCTATGGAGACCAAGGCTCGGTCAGCCCCACCCCTCATCCCACTGGGTTGTGTGGGGCCGGGGGGGCGGGAGGGGGTATGGGGGGGATGTTTGCCTCCTGGGCCCCACCCTGAGGAGAGGACAGAGAGAAGGAGGCATCATTCCCTGGAGGACAGACAAAGGGCTCAGAGGAGGCTGATACGTACCCGCCCCACCAGTACCAGGCCACACACGCCTCCTGCTCCTCCAGCACAAAGCAGGGCGTCTCCAGCACATTGAAGAAAACCACACCCACAAGGTCTGAGACGGAGTCCCTCTGGTTCTGCAGGCACTGCCGGAACCTGCCACAGGGCCGGCACTCAGGTCCCCGGGCCACAGAGGGCCGCTGGCTCCTCCCCAAGCCCACCAGCCACTACCAGCAGGTGGCATGGGTCCAAGAGTTCCTTCCCTTGCCCGGTCAGTGTGGCTTAAGTGTTTGAGCATCGACCTACGAACCAGGAGGTCAGGGTTCGATTCCCGGTCAGGGCACATGCCCGGGTTGTGGGCTCCATCCCCAGTGTGGAGTGTGCAGGAGGCAGCCGATTAATGATTCTCAACATTGATGTTTCTCTCTCTCTCTCTCTCTCTCTCTCCTTCTTCCCTCCTCTCTGAAATCAATAAAAATATCTATATATATAAAAGCCTAATGTGCAAAGTGTCCCCTCGGGAGTTCGACCGACTGGGAGTTCGATCGCTTGCTATGAGGTGCGCTGAATCCCAGTGGGCAGTGCAGAATGAAGGAAGGCCCCTGCCAGCAGCTGGCAGCCAGGGCATAGAGGCCTGGCTGGCAGCTACTAGGGACCCTACCTGTGCACGAATTTCATGCATTGGGCCTCTAGTATTTTTTTTTTTAAATGAAGAGTTTCTTCTCCACTCAGCTCTCAGTTTTCCCACTTGCGTGGTGGTTCTGGGCTGTCTGAACCCGTTAAGATGCTCTGGAATCCCAGTCTCTGCACCCAGGGGCTGAGTAACTCCGCCCCAGCCCCCTGCCCCCTGCCCACTGCCCACCTGGCATCACAGTCGCAGTGAGAGATGGTCTGGAATCGGTAGTTTTGGATGCCGTAGTTGTACTGGAAAGGCGAGATGCTCTGAGGGCAGTGGTCATGCTCCCGGCAGCAGAGGTCGGGGCCCCGGAAGACACCTGTAGGGAGTGGAGGGGGCACCAGTTCATCAGGGTCCCAGGAACCACACACTGGCTATGCCCATGAGATGTTGGGACCAGAGACCCGGTGGCCTCAGGCAAGTCAGTTTCCCTCTATGGGATTCACAGTTTCTTTTTTTATTTATTTAATATACTAGAGGCCCGGTGCATGAAATTCATGCACTCGAAAGGGAGGGGGAGGCGCAGGTGTCACGCAGCCAGGCCTGTATAATAAAAGGGAGCCTTTGGGCCCTAACTGGTTTGGCTCAGGGAATAGAGCATAGGCCTGCGGACTGAAAGGTCTCAAGTTCGATTCCGGTCAAGAGCATGTACCTTGGTTGCGGGCACATCCCCAGTAGGAGGTGTGCAGGAGGCAGCTGATTGATGTTTCTCTCTCATCGATGTTTCTAACTCTCTATTCCTCTCCCTTCCTCTCTTTAAAAAATCCAACAATGACATATTTTTTTAAAAATCAGTGGGAAAAATATCCTCTCTCCTCTGGTGTTTGTTGATTTCAGAGAGGAAGGAAGAGGGAGATAGAAACATCAATGATGAGAGAAAATCACTGATTGGCTGCCTCCTGCACACCCCCTACTGGAGATTGAGCCCACAACCCGGGCATGTGCCCTTGACCGGAATGGAACCCCAACGCTCTATCCACTGAGCCAAACTGGCTAGGGCAGCACTCACAGTTTCAAAGCTTAAAGAGAGCACCCAGGCCCAGCCTATGCTTTGCAACTTCAAATGCAGGGCAGCCTACCCAGGAGCCCAGGCTCACGGAAAGGTCCGCCTGGGAGGAACTGTGGAAGCAGACCCACGCTCACACCCAAATATCACGATGAGGCCATGAACGTGTGTGGAATGGAATGACAAACAGGTAGGTGCGACCTTGGGTGCTGGCATGATGAAACATGGTCAGAAGGCCAGTTGCCCCAGCTCAGGAGCCAAGTCCTCCCCTGGCCCTCCGCACACACGCACAGGCAGCTGTGCTGAGAGTGCAGAAAAGCCATCGGAGCGATAATGCCTTTTACTGAGTGTTTCATAAGAGCCCGGCTTCCCACATGCAAGCTCGCGGCCGCCCTGCCAGACAGGTGTCACTTCATGATCCTGGGGAGGGAACAGGCTTGCAAGAGCGTGTTGTGCTAAACTGGTATTTGAACCCAGGCCCTTGGGCCGCAGCGTCCACCCCACTGGCCAATCTCTGCTCACAAGGCCTCCTCTTAGGAAATGGCCATTTGGTTCAGCTGACCCCGATCCGGCTCCCCACTGGCTCCCAGCCTGTCCCCTCCCTGACGGTGATTAAGGAGGACTCCCAGCGGTGAGTAGGACCTTTCCCATCTATGACCTCATCGAAGCCTCATGATGAGAGGGAGGGTCAGCCTCATCTTACAGATAAGGACACTGGAGTTCAGAGTGGTTAAGTCACTCCCTCAAGGACACACAGCCGGGGAGAGTGAGGCCAGGGTGAAAGCCTGAACTTCCCCCACCCCAGTCCCCTCAGCCCACACCCCCGTGGCTCACCCAGCTCCGTGGAGTTCCTGGCAGAGTCCCCAAAGCCACACCACAGTGTGCCGGGCATGGTCCAGCCTCTCTTCTCCCGCGGGTGCTCCACGCCGGGTGCTCCACGCTGCCCTGCCGCTCGCTTCTCCCTCGTTCCTGCTGGCCTCCTGGCAGACGGTGGGCAGGCCCCCCACTGGCTCCGAAGGGCGGCCAGGGCTCTCCGCAGCTCAGGGCCAGGGCTGTGGACGAAGGAGTCCCGGGAGATCTCGGCCGCACACAGGGCGCTGAAGGCTGCAGTGAGCTCCGGCTCCTCCTGCCGGCTACATGCCTGCAGCCTCCCGTGCCCATCCCAGTGGGCATGGAACACCGCCAGTCCCTGCGCATCCCTGCCCAGGAAGCTCAGGGACCCCGAGGGGCTGCCGGGGACGGACCTGGCCAGGTGGCAGGAGGTGCTGTGCCAACGGAGGGCAGGAGAGCCCTCCAGAGCAGCCCCCAGGCAGCTCAGCACCCCCAGCAGCCTTCCCAGCAGCCTCATCCCGCCCGGGCCCAGCCCCGTCAGACAAAGCCCCCGGGGTGGGATGCCTCGCCCTGGCGGTCCCTGCCGGCCGGGCCCACGAGGCAGCCGCACAGGAGCGGAACGGAAACGGTGCCCGGCAGACCCGGTGCAGCGGGGCCAATGAATGGAGCTTGGGGAGGGGTAGGAAGGAGGTTGGCGTATGGGGTGATCTCCAGCTTGTAACTGAATCCACCGGCTGGACAGGCCGCCGATTGGCTGAGAGTGCCCACGCCCCCACTCACCTCGGCTTTCTCACTGCCATCCAGTCACCTGCTCGCAGCCCAGCCTGGACAGGGACTGTGGGAGCCAGAGCCCTGGGCCCCGGGGTGGGGCCAGAAGAGGTCTACACCTCCTCCCTGGGGAGGGAGCGGGCTCAGGGGCTCCGAGGAGGCTTCTGGAACTCATCCTCATCTCCCTACCCCAATGGAGGCTGCCACACACCCCGCCTCCGTGAAGCTGCAGGGCCATGCATGAGGGCAGGCCTGAGGATCTGTGGCCACAAACTCTCCCTCCCCCACCTCCGCCCCCAAATTCTGGGAAAGGGGGCAGGTGTGCCCAGGCCTGGCCACCTAGGGCGCTCCCTCCAAATCCTGGCTTTGGCATAGCCAGGGGTCAGCGCCCCAGGGATTCCTGGAACTCCAGGCAGAGGTCAAGTTCAGAAGTCATGTCCCTGGTCTAATAGACAAGTAGGCAGAGACACAGCCAGGGCAGGACGTGAGAGCAACACGGGGTGGATGTTGTTACGCTTTCCTCATTTTAAAACAAATTTCCTCTTTTTGCTTCTCTGATTGGGTGTTTTCTGCTGCCTTGGCCTCCAAATCACTGATTTGATCCTCTGCTTCATCCAGCCTACTATTATTCCTTCCAGTATATTCTTCATTTCAGGTATTGTATTCTTCATTTCTGACTGGTTCTTTTATATGGTTTCTATGTCCATTTTCAAGTCTAAGTTCCTTGAGCATCACGATAACCATTTAAAAAACAAACAAACTCTATATCTGGTCAATTACTTGCCTTCATTTCATGTAGCTCTTGTTTTCTGGAGCTTTCTCCTGTTCTTTCATTGGGGGCATGTTTCCTTTGTCTCCCCATTTTGGCTGCCTCTCTGTGTTTGCTCCTAGGTTATCAGGTAGACCTGCTATGACTCCCAGTCTTGGGAGGGTGGCCTTAGGTATTTGATGTCCTAGGGGACCCAGTGGCACAGTCTCCTTTATAACCGGGGTTGGGTGCTCTAGGAATGTCCTTGTGTGGGTAACACGGGTCCGCCTCTTCTCATTGAGTCCTTGATTGTTATTGGCCTGTTTGTGGGTGGGGTCCCACAGGCTGGCTGACTGTGAGTCTCAACCCTGACAACAGCATGTGAGCTGCCGTGCAGGTGTTGGCCACCGGAAGCGGAATAGGTTGACGCTCGGCCAGCTCCGCAGGGCCAGGTGCCCGAAGTTCTGCTGCTTGTCCACCCTGTCATTCCATGCAGGGCTCTTTGGCGGAGGTTGGAGCCTGGATTTGTTTGTTGGCTTTCACTTAAGAGACCTTAGCTCACATCCTCTCCCCTCTTGGGACTGACCTGGCCCTTGGGGGTCCTGGAGAGGCCCTCGGAGTCTAATTCATTCAACAGGATGAAGAGGGTGGGCAGGGAGCATAACAAGGAGGATCAAGAGGCTCAGAGGGAGGTCTGACTGCAGAATGTGGCCCCTGCGAGACTAGATAATAACTCCCCCATATCTATAGCCAAGGACTCAGGTTTCTGAAGCACGGTTTTATCTGTGAATTTGCCCAAGGTCAATGGCAGAGGGGGACTGGAGCTAAGACCAGGCCTTGAGCCTCTTGACACCCAGGGTTCTCCTGGCTGCTCTGGGATTTCGACTAGAGGGCCCAGGGAGCAGCCCCTTTATGCCCAGACCTGGAGACGAAAGCAGGAAGGCCTGCCGGACAGCAGCCTGGGCCCTGCCTGAGCGCTCAGAATTTGGTCCAGTCTCTGCTACCACCTAGTGGGCACCCAAAGCCAGCACCATCTAGAGAAACTCCTGAGGGAGGAACGCTCTTTGCTCCTTTCCTGGTCCCTTCTTGCACCTGCCTGGTCTTTCGTGTCCACCCTCTGACTCACTGTATGATCCTGACAAGCCCTTTGCCCCTCTGGCTCTCAGTTTTCTGTCTTAGAATAAGCGTTCTCCAAAGAGCAGCAGTCCTGATCTTTCCAAAAACACAAGCCTGGCCAGGTCTGTCCCCTGCCGCTCTCCTGGCCACCAGGTTGAAGCCGGGCATGCCCTGCAGGATCTGAGCCTGGCTGACCTCCCCAGTTCCCCCCTTCTCTGCTGCAGCCACACAGAGCTACTCTTCTTCCCTCCATCGCCAGGCCCTCCTAGGCCCTTTGCACATGCTGTGCCCTTTCCCTGGAACACTCTTCCCTCTCCTTCACCCGGCTTGTTCCTACTTGTCCTTCAAGCATCAGTTTAATCACCTCTTACAGGAAGCCCTCCTCCCTGACACTCCCAACCAGGGTGGGCAAGCGTACTTTAGGTCCCCACTGAGGATGGTTGAAGTCTCAAATGGGATATGACCCTGGGAGAAGTCAAATAAAATAGCAGCCCATTCAGGTCAGGGGACTGTAGGGGGGACACTGTGAGGAGCCATGGGCTCAGGGTTCAAATACCTGATTTCCCACCCAATGACTCCACCTCTCCGAGTACCTATTTTACATGTGAATAAATCAGATCCTGTCTGCTCTAGCACTGAACAGAAGAACTTTAATGTGAGCCATAAGTGTGCTTTTAAATCACCTAGCCACCGTTTAAAGAGTAAAAGAAACAGAAGCAATAAATTTCATAATACATTGTAGATGATATCCACGTGTAAAGTGTTATTTCAACATGTAATCAGTATTTGTAAATCATTAATGAGGTCCTTTATTTTACATCCTTTTTTAATATACCAAGTCTCGGACATCTGGAGGGTATTTTGTACTTGCTGTGCATCTCCATTCGGATTCCACATTTCAAGCACTCAGCATCCACCTGAGTCTAAAGTCCACTGTCCTAGACAGTACAGCTCTGCGAGACGTTTACATGGGTGTGTATGCAAAAATTTATGGAGCTGAACACCTAAGACTGACCTTTTTTTGTATGCAAATTTGAGAGAGAGAGAGAGAGGAGTAATTCCCAGGTTTCTGGCCTGAACATGGATGCACACAGGGTGGGGAAATTTGCTGGTGTGGGGGAGGCTGAAGGTGAACAGGTGGGGTGCAGAGTGGGGAAAACCTGAGAGTCTGAGCATCTTTGTCCCTTGGGTCTTGGTTGCCCCCAGGCCTTGGGAAAGTTTCCAGTCACCACATCAGAAGCTGTGCATACCTCGGCTGCCCCCTGGTGGCCACGCAGCAGGTGGCAGGCACCAGTTGGCCTTGGTACCTAGGCCTTCTCCCCGAGAGGGTAGAGGGCATTGAAGTGTCATTCAAACTTCTTTTCTGGACCCCGAAGTCCAACATCCGGCCCATTTTCACTGTTGGGGGCCATGGACATCCCCTCTATCGAGGATTTCCAGATGAGCAAAAATGAAAGTCACTGACTTAAGTTTGAATCTCAGATTAAACAACAAATAATTTTTTAGTATAAGCATGTCTCATCTGTTGTGTGTGTGAAATTCAGGTTTCACTGGGCACCCTGTATTTTACTTGGCCCCCCGACTTCTAGCTCATCCTCCAGGACTCAGAAGCATGAAATCCAGCTCTACTTCCTCCCTGTGTGACATCTGACCACGTTTCTTCACCTCTGAGTTTCACTTTCCTCCTCTGCAAAACGGCCAATAGTTCTTTCCTCAATGACCTATTGAAAGGACTCACTGAGACAAATATAAGGAAGCAATCTCCCCATAATTCCTGGCATGTGGCAGGCCCTAAGCAAACATTCCTTCCTTCCTTCCTGGGCTCCTGTAGGTGCAGGGCAGAGAAGGCCTGTTCAAGCAGTACCCCGCCTCCTTCCCCACACAGCCCAGGGGTTGGACCCCATGAATTCTTACTGCCTTCCAGATTTCCTCTCCTTCACTAGTCTTTCCCTTACCTAGTGAACTAGATTTTTGTCCATGCCTCATGTGTGTTGGGAATATCCCAGAATCCTTTGGGAAGAGTCTAACTCCCAGGAATAGGGTCCTCCTGACCCAGCTCTCGGAAGATTCCAGAATATGGCCCTGATACCACCTAATGGCCACGTCTCTAAACTAATAATACTCTCCAGACCCGAACCTGGAAGTCAGGCTGGTTCACTCTGCTCCTG